ACCCCCCCAGGATCCCCCCCTTCGCTTCGCCCCCCACCCTCTGGCGGGGAAGGAATCTAAGGGAAGGGCCTCCATTCGACTCGATTGCGACGTTGCTCGGTTTCTCTTTGGCTAGTTTGAACAGGAGGGAACACGGACAGGAACAGGGATGATCGGTGACGGCGACAACGACGACGACGATGACGACGACGTCCTCGACGACGACTTCGACAACGACGTCGACGACGACCGACGATCGACGACGACGACGACGCCGACGACGACGAGAAGCCTCTCACACATGCCGACTGGGGCGGCTGATGTTCGACCAGAGTACCGCAGAATCCAGATGTAAAAAAGCAATGGTGTTCAAGTTCCCGCGCCATGTCGCAGAGGTGCCGCGAAGTTCCGAGCCCCGCATCGCGTCGTCGCGAAGTCTTTGAAGCCCCGATGAGGGCCCACCGACATCCGCTATAAGTTTGTTGTTTTGTCGCCGTGGGCTCTGGTCCAATTGCAGCCCAGCGCCGCTGCACCGTCTTGTCTCGCAAGAGCGGTGCCTGCGCTTGACCAGGCGAGCGGGGCTCTCGCCTCCTTCCTGCGCGAGTTGACGGCGGCGCGCGCGTGCACCGCAGGGGCCAGCCGGGCGAGCCAGGGTTCCTGCATGAGCCTTGAGGGCCCACGTGTGGTGGATGTGTTGAGGCTCGGACTTGAGAGTCCCAGCACAGATGTTACGGCGGTCGAGGTTTCTCGTGAGGACGTGTGACGCGGGCCACGACAATTCGTTTTTCGGCACGACTTCGAAACACCAGCGTGTCCTCCGTGAGCTTCTATAACCAAGAGGTTGTGCGAGCAACTGCTTCCGGGAAAGATCAAACCCTTTCACGATACTCGCATTAAGCCGATACGTGGTTCATCCATCGCAGTTGCAGATGTGCTCCACGGTTTGGATTCCATGAGACAGGTTATGCACGCCATGCAGCGCGGGGTTGAACTTATAGTGTTTGCACCAATAATATGTTTGTTTGAAATTCGCCCAGGCCGCAATGTGGACGGGCCCAGAGCCCCCGTACTTCATACCCAACCTGCGGATTGGGGCGGAGTTGGCCACCTAACCCCACAACATCACTCTTGTTTCCTTGGCGGATGTGGGAGAAACGTATCGTAGATGGTGATGTCAGGTTCCAGCAGTGTTGTCCTCTCGGAGTTTGTCCCAGGCGCTTCGGTATACGGGCGACGAAGCGCATCGGATCCCGTCGGTGCAAATCGGCGGTGATCCTGGCAGTCTTGCATGTCACCCGACACTCTCTCACAAATCGCGAGCCTTGGTCCGATCGCACGTTGGTGTGGCCCGAGGCATCCATTGCCGTGTGAGCCAGAATGGATAGGGCGGTTCGGGCTGAGGGCTTACGAGGCGGAGGAGTTAGAGGAGGAAGAGAAAAAATAAGAGCATGACGGGGAGGAGGAGCAAAACGCATGTGATCAGAGACGGCCAAACCGCAAAGCGAAAGGAAGGAGGATGGTGCCCCTCCTCCACCCTTTTCCTTTGTTCCCCAATCCTCGATCCTCCTCCCGCCCCTTTTCTCGATCGCATTCGAACCTCGATCCCCTTCCAGTGAGGAGAATGGAAGAGATCCCCCAGGGCCTGGCGAGTTGTCCCAAACCGCTTGCAAGGAACAAGCAAGATACCTTGTGAAAATCATTGCGAGCCCGTCTGAGCCGAAGGAAGCCCAGAGATATACCAACAAATGATCATGAATCGTGGAAGATTCAGCGCGAGCCGAGGGACAGCAGGAGCCGTTAAGCCCTCAACGAAGATCCTCCACGATCCCCGTTGATCCTCGATCGTCTTCCTCCTCGATCGTCGATCCCCCCCACGGTCCGTCGACCAACGAAGACGGCCGTATGGGAGGGGTGCCACCGTACTTCCACCGCGTCAATTGCCACCAACGCGGTTTTCCGCTTTAAGGCCGCAAACGGGATTTATTGGTTTGCCGACTGATTGTGCCTGTCAACGCCAGTTTTGTCATGCATGTTAGCATTCTGGACGCCCTCCCGCGGAGGGCCGAGTCTATTTCGCACCCCGCCCACTCTGGTGACGGGTCGACCTTTGCCGCTGCGGGGCGGCGCCGTTAGGGGTCCTCCCCCCACCACCCAACCCGTGCTCCTCAAGGATGGGTGTTGCAAAGTGAGGTCGTGCATGTTTTATTCCCAACCATCCTGTGGTGTTGGGTCCTCGTTTTGAAGAGACAGCGCCCGCGTCACTCCTCCTGTCCTCCTCCCCCTCCTCCTTCCCGCCATCATCATCGTTATCATCATCCTCGTCATCATCATCATCATCATCATCATCATCATAATCATCATCATCATCATCATCATCTTTATCAGCATCGTCACCGTGATCGTCGTCGTCCTCACCATCGTCATCACCATCATCATCGTCACTATCATCCTCATCGCCATCATCATCATCATCGCCATCATCGAAACCATCATCGTCATCAGCTTCGGCACACCCTTCACACGCTTCGTGGCCCCATAGGGGGCCGCACCGAAGGCCCCAGTGCCGCCGCCCGCATGCGTCCCGCACACCCAATTCGGCACATCCCTCACACGCTTCGCGGCCGCATAGGGAGCTCCAATGAAGGCCCCAGTGCCGCCGCCCGCACGCGTCCCGCACACCCCACTTCGGCCCACCCCTCACACGCTTCGTGGCCCCATATGGGAGCTGCACCGACGGCCCCAGTGCCGCCGCCCGCATGCGTCCCGCACACCCAAATCGGCACACTTCTCACACGCCTCGTGGCCACATAGGGAGCCCCACCGAAGGCCCCAGTGCCGCCGCCCGCATGCGTCCCGCACACCCCACTCGGCACCCCCCGCACACGCTTCGTGGCCCCATAGGGAGCTGCACCGAAGGCCCCAGTGCCGCCGCCCGCATGCGTCCCGCGCACCCAAATCGACACACTTCTCACACGTTTCGTGGCCCCATAGGGAGCCGGTGGTTCTGCGCCGCCAAGGTCACCCGGACGGGATTCCCGCTCTCGCGCGGCAGGGTGATCACCACGGTGGCGTGCCAGGGGCGCACCATGCGAGAAGGCGACGGGACGAGGGACGGGCGTTCGGGGGACGGCCAGACCTCCATGGCGCGAGCAGTCCGCAGCCAGACTTCGGTCCTGTGGACTCTCGCCCTGGGCCGTCGGCTGCCCGGCGCACCGGCCCCTCGGCCGGCGTCGCCCAGGCGTGCGGCCGCCACGAGGTCGGAAACGGCAAGAAGGAGGACGACGGCTGGTGGCTGGAGCTCTACGCGCTGCTCTCGCGCGCCACGCGCCACGAGGACCTCCTCCTCGTGCGGGCACCGCGCATCCAGTTTTTCCTGGCCTGGCCGCCAGCGGACTTGCGGAAGCAGCCGGAGCAGCTTGCGGCGCGCACGAAGAGGCGCAGGAGGGATGCCACGGCCCTCGCCAGGGAGCTCGGTCTCACCGAGTTTATCCGCGACGGCTGACCTGAGGAGCGGCCCGCCCCAGCCGCGCCCTCTCTTGGCTGTCCGGTCGCTTGGCCTCGCGTCGCGGACGAGCCGCGCGCGTCATTGAGACCCTCTCGGGGCGACCAGCGCGCGTCGCGCGAACTCCGCGCCTCGCGCGGCCCGGCGCCTCGCTCGCCCCTCGTCGCTCCGCCCGGCGGCTAGAGCCGCGCGCGCCACCAGTTAGCCTGCGAGCGCTCTCTACTCCGCGCAGCGGACGGACTGCTCGCGCCACTGCGACCCTTTCGCGGCGACCTGCGCGCGTCGCGGGGGCTCCGCGCTGCGCGGCGCCCGCAGCCTCGGACATCGGAGCGCGCGGGCAAAAAGGAAGGACAACGAGAGGAGGAAGCGGGCGCGATCGTCGCGCGGAACGCGCCGGCATGGGCGTCGCGGCGCGCGGGCGCTGCCGTCGGGATTCCCAGGGAAGCTCCTCGCGGAAGCTACGCTCAGCATCACGAGCTCTCAGAGTTCGGCAGACCCAGACCATTCATTGTCGTGTGCATTTACATTAGGCGTATCCACGCTCGCAGTCATGCACATCGAATCAATCGCGCGCATATCCATTCAGAATCAGATTCACTCGCGCCTAGACTCGCCCGCGCTCAAGCTTCCATACTCAGACCAATCGTTTTCGTTCGCGTCGTTTACCCCATCTCACAATTCGGCACACCCTTCATTCGGTTCGTGACCCCGTACGGAGCGCCGCCGAAAGATATATTCACAATTGCGGTATTCACAACTGCGTACGGTTGGGTCCTTCGCCAGGCGAATTTGCGCGAGTTGCCGAAACGAACAGAGACATTCGCGCCCCACCCAGCTTTTGGCCGATCGGTTGCTGCCCCCCTTCCAATCCCCCCCCTCTGCTGCCTATCCCCCCGCCCCCTCTCCCCTCCCCCAGTCCCCCCTCCTTCCCATCCCTCCCCTTTTGCACTTTCACACTTTTCGTTTCTCCCCTCCGCATCCGACTGCCCCCCGTCTCTCTCCTCCGCCCCCCCCTGTTCTTCCCAGCGTTTTCTCTTTTCGGGCTCCCCGTTTTCAGGTGTCTCGCACCAGGACCTGTGGTTTCGTGGACGGCGCCGACGCCGTGCCATCCTTCTCCCCGTCGCGCCCCCCCACACGTGAGGAGCGTCAATAGGCCCCACTCGTGAGTACCACCAATCGGCCCCACAACCCGCACAACTTTTGTCATAGGGGTTGCGTGGGTCCCCGTCGCCGTAATTCCACCCGCCATGAGCCCGTCACAAGGCACGGGGAGGGGCCGAGGCCCTCCCTACGGTCCCTCGGCGAAGGAAAACGGCCGTAGGGAGGGCGCCACCGTATTTTCACTTCAGTACAACGCCAATTGCCACCAAGTCTGTTGTCCCCCTCGATTGTCGATTCTCCCTGATCCCCCCTCCTCGATCATCCTTTCCCGCGTCGATCCTCGTTACCTCCAGATCATAGCCGATAACCTCCTCACCGATCCTCGATCCTCCCCGATCCTCCCCCTCGCGACACCTAGGCGCCAGCGCCGCCGCTGGCGCCGACAGGGCAGCCACGGGCGCCGCTTGGGGGAGTGCTGAGCGGGATCAGCGTGCCCAGCCTTGCGATATCCAGCGACGCCCGGGCCTTGTCGCCGACGTTGCGGACGCCCGAAGGGGGGAGGGATAGGGGGAGGTGGCGCAGGAGGAGAGGAGGGCGGGGGAAGGTTGGAGGAGGAGGGGAGAAGGAGGAGGAGGAGGAGGAGGAGGAGGAGCAGGAGGAGCAGGAGGAGGAAGAGGAGGTCAGGGAAGGAGGATGGGAGGGCGTGGGAAGGGCAGGGCGGGGGAAGTGAGGGAGGAGGAGAGGGCGCAGAAGGAGGGGAGTGCGGGGGAGGGGGGGCAGGAGGAGAGGGAGGAGGAGGAGGAGGAGGAGGAGGAGAAGGCGGTGGAGGAGGAGGAGGAGGAGGAGGAGGAGGAGAAAGGGGAGAAAGGGGAGGAGAAGGAGGAGGAGGAGGACAGGAGGAGGAAAGGAGGAGGAGGAGGAAGAGGAGGAGTAGGAGGAGGAGGAGGAGGAGGAGGAGGAGGAGTTACGAAGTTCAGGAGTTACGGAGATACGGGTATCGCGATTGTGCGGGTTACAGTTACGATGGGGAAGCAGGGCGCAGGCTAAATGTTGTTTCTTGGCTCTTCTGGCCTGCTCTATGTAGACCTTCGGCCACAGTCCCTGGATAGTACGCTTACGATAACCGATTCGATTACCGTCGAGGTGTGTGTTGCATTACTTGCCGAGCTGTGCTAGCTGTTCAGCTGCAAAACGCCCACAAACAAAGCAAACCCATAAGCCCAGCCCCGTGTAAAACTACCCGTACAACGTGTGCATCTACGGCGGCCGTCATCGCCCAGATGGTGCGATGAGGCGAACACTGCACAAACACTGGCTGAAGGAGGACACGCCACCAGAGACAGCCTTCCTAAGCCTTCCTAGACCTAGGCGGCCTGAAACAACAAGTCCTCAGCTTGAATTGCTTCGAGCGTTCTCTGTAGGATGCGCATGGGCACCGCAAAAGCGAGGCTCTCAGCACTGTACACGCTTGTGCGCGTGCTCTTGGACAAAGCGTGTCACGGCGGCGCCAGCACTCGCAAGCTCATCAGTTACGGTGTTACCTACGATTAACAAACGAGGGACATGTTGCACAATCATGTGCTCGGCACCAAGGTGCGAGTTAATGAACAAAACAGTGCAGTGCAGATCAGGCTTGGGCCCGAGGGAGACTGCCACCCAGATTCATACCATCCTGAGCGCACAGTCGAGTTATCCGTAGTGTACACAATGTGGCCCTCGCTCTCGCGCACGCACACCCACAGAATGTGCACTTCACCTCTGACAACGATCTGCCGGGCTCCCAGAAGCGCCGTCCACACGCCGAGTGAAAAATGCACATGTCATCATCGAGCGAGCGAAAGAGGGCAACTCTGATGCCGACGCGGCGGAGGCGAGGGTGGTGCGTGTCCTTGCCTCCTCTGGCATCACCGAAAAGGTAAAGGGGGTTCTCGGCGGTCTCCTTTTCCGAATTCAGCGAGACAAACTCCTTCTGATGCGTACCACTGCTCGGCATCTGGTGGGTCCTCGACTGCGACCCGCGACGACGGCAGCAGCCCCCGCGTCCAGAAACACTCCTCGGCCTCCGCTTGGGCGTACGCCTTGCTGATGTACTGGTCACTCAACTGATATGCCGAGCTAGGGGATCGAGACTCGCAACCCCATACGCTGTGGAAGCTGGTTTTCACCTCTGTGCGACAGTGTGGGCATCTGTCCGAGATCTTCTGCTTGCAGGTGGTCTGCCCCCTGGTCCTGGGCCAAGATGCACTTGCCGCTGCAGCAAGCATGATCCCAGCCAGGCGCGGGCCACCAGGCCCCTGCTCCAGATGCTGGGGAAGCTGTCGATATGAACAGTTGTAGACGCCGCCTTCCATTCCGGCGCCTCCGAAACGCTTGGCGGCCTCATTCCAAAGATCAGCTTGAATGGTCGTTTGAAACTCCTGGAGGAAACTCTCTGGCATGTCCACGGCTGCACAACCAGTCAAGCTGTCTCATCTTAAAGTGTTGACACTTCGCGTGCCCCCGGCGGTCCGCGCATTGCGTCCCGCGTGCCGCTTGCCTCCCCTCTCCGCACGGGGTCGACGGACACCTGGTCCTCCCCCACCGCGCTGCTCATCCAATACATTCTGAGCTGTGCCTCCTGCCACCTGGGCGGCGCGTGCCGCTCGCACCCCCCCTTTCGGCTCTTCCCCTCCCGTCGCCTGTCCTTGGAGGGCCCTCTGACCGTTCCCTCCCGACACTTGCAGCGTGGTCTGGTCGCGACCGCCCAAGCTGCCCACTCGACACCCCTCGGTGTCTGGCGATCCGGGTTGCTTCCGTTGGGGCTTGCGGTGCGTCTTGCCAGCGGTCTTCCGCGTCAGGGACGTGATTGGCTACCCGAATTACCACCTGGTGCTGCACGTCCCCCCGATGGACCTCCTGGCGTGCGTTCTCCATTGAGCGGCAGCGAGGCGCGAGGCTCGCCTCCTTTCAGCCTGTTCCCCTGCTTGGTCTTGCCCTCGTTTTGCCCTTCCTCTTCCGCTGCGCTAATTTAGGCCGTTGCCAGTCTGCGCCGCCCCATGACGCACCCCGACCATTTCTCCGCCGCGGTCGCGATCAAAAATCCCCACCAGCCCATTCAGAAATTATGACCTGGGGAGTTGAGGTGATCAGGGGAATGGGGGAGCACGCAGGAGAACACTGGGCGGGGGAAGCCGTTCGAAGTGGGGGAGGGAGAGGAGGGAGGAGGAATGAGAAGGAGCGGGCGGAAAAGGAGGAGGAAGTGGAGGAAGAGATGAGGAGGAGGAGAACAAAGACGAACAGAAGAGCCTTCTCGGATGTCTTTTGGAAGTTTGTCGGAGGCCACTTGGAACGTCTGGGGGGCATGTCGGGTGCCTCGGGGATCCTCTTGAAGCCTCTATGGGATCACGAGGGAGCCTTTTGGAGGCATCTTGGGCGCCACTTGGGGCCATCTCGGCGTTTCTTGGGGCCCTCTCGGGGCGCTCTCGGGTGCCCAGGGAGCATTGTCCGGGCCATCTTGGAGGACATCGATCAAAACATGGGGGATTCATCAATTACCGTCGCCAGTCTAGAGGCCGTAAAATCGCCTGTTGGGCCCCTCTTGGGGCGCTCTTGGAGCGCTCTCGAGCGCTCTTGGGGCCGTATTGGGGCTATCGTGGGCGCTTATTGGGCCTTGTTGGAGCCATCTTGAGGCCTCGGAAGGCCATCAGACGCGAAAAGGCGAGACGGCAAACCATCATTGATTTTCCATTGGTCTTGGGAGGATGTTAGCCTCTTCGGGGCCTCCTTGGGGAGCCTTCTGGCTCTTTGGAGCCTTTTTGGAGCGGTCTTGGGGCCTCTTGGATCATCTTGAAAGCCATCGTTTGGAGGCTTGGCATACATATTTATATATATACATACATATACACATACACATACACATACACATACACATACACATACACATACATATACATACATACATACATACATACATACATACATACATACATACACACATACATACATACATATATATATATATACATATATGTTTATATATATATATATATTGAACCATGTTGGAGCTAAGTTTGGGTTCTCCGAGGCTCTCTTGGAGCCACCTTGCGTATTAGCCGCTATGGCGCGAAGCTATCATTCTCGGCGGCCTGAGACGAGAATTACACCGAGGACGGCATCTTCGCGTTTTGTGAGCGGCGTTTTGGTTAGCAGTCATCAGGAAAGAGACAGGCGCAGGAACCTATGGCCCATGGCGAAGACGCCCTCCGGGAAACAGAGGGCCTCCATGTGTCATTTCCGGTACTTCGAAACACGTCGCAACGAACCCGACATGGGAGGTGAGGAGGCGACCAGATCAAATGGCGCGACCTCGGAGATTACGAATGAACTTCGGGGTTGCGGCGTTACTCGACTCGGGCGCGCGAGGTATGGGTCGTGGGAGCATTCGTCCTCGTTCTCGACCCCTTCGTCCCTATGATGCACCAGGACTCATTTCGATTCGACCAATTTGATTCGATTTCGTTTCTGGCCGTCGCGATGCGACTCGACTCTGACGTTCCGACGCGGCCCGATGCCCGCATGGCGTTGTTGTGCATGTCGGAACAGTTGGTCCGATCCGAGTTCGACCCCGTGCCGATGCAGCCCGATCCGACGCACATACGGATGCGATTGGAATTTCCGATGCGATGCTGACTGGTCCTGCCCACCACTCCTCCCCTCCGCATCTCTGCCCCTGCCCTCCACGCCCTTCTATTCCACCGCACGCTACCCCTCCATCTATCCGTCCTCCTGCCTGGCCCCCAGCCCTCCCCCAAGTTCCGCGAGTTTGCCCGAGGATGACCACTTCTCCTCCGCGCCTACGTGCCGTCCCGTCGGCGACGGCACTGCATCAGCAGGCGTGGGCGACGTCCAGACTCGCGAGCCACCGCTCATTGGTTTGATGCAAGGGGGATGAAGAGGTGGGAAAGGAGGGGAGCGGACGGGAACGGAGGAGGGGAAGGCGAGGCGGGGCAGTGCATGTGGGCTCTTTTTGGGTTAGTGGAAGTGCGAAGGCTGCGGAACCGTTTTAGACGGGGGGGGCGCCCGCCTCGATGGTCTCGGCCTCGATTCGGCCCCCTCCCGCTTTTTTGACCGTGCGGCTGGGTATGTCGAGCCGACCAGCTCGGATGTCGGAGAGGGCGTCCTTTGAGGACGGTGAGAGGAAGCCAGGAGTGGGGGGTCCGAGCCAACCCGCCCTCCTTGGCAGAAGCCGAGGCGAGAGGGGGGGTGGTCGAAGCCCCCTGCCCTCTCCTCCTTGGTGCAAGTCCGGAGGGGGGGGGTCAGCGGCACCGTAACGGGTATCCACTAACGGGTACTTTGGAGATTTGCTGGAAGTTGCCATCTTAGGGCCTCTTTCTGGCATTGCAGCGTTGCCCACATCGGGCAGGGTTGGGTTCGCCGGGTCACTAGCCAAGGTACCCGTTGGTGGAGTCCCCGTTAGAGGGGCGATGAGGGGTTCGATTTCCCCCACTTTCAAGTCGGAAAGGGTGGAGTGGAAAGGCACCCCCAAGCGCCGTCTCCCGCCCCTGGAGCAGGCGACGACGACGACGACGACGACGACGACGATGACCACAGCCATGAGCTCGGACGTCTCCGCACTGCTACGACAGGTAATTTCGAGGATGCGGTCCTGGATCGCAAATGCTTCGTCAAGGCTGCAGTCGAGGCTGATCAGTAGGTCGACCCTGCCAAAGCAAGCGTACCCTTGTGTCCTGTGTTGCGCGACCCCTGCCCTCCACACTCCTGCGGCAGCGTGGTCCTCGGAAGGGCCCTGTGCCCTCTCCGCGCGCCCTCTCCAACCAACGCCCCGGTTGGTGCGCATGGCTGCTGTGGGCGTGCCCCAGCTTCCTCCCACCTGTCAGGAGCGAAAGAAGGACGTACACGTACATGAACCCACGTTGGGTTCGAGAGTACGCGTTGCGCAAATGTTCGTATAACGCGGCCGGTCTCGCGGATCGAGGGGCCGTGTTCAGGTGCGCCCCCGCGGGCGCGTCGTTGGTGCGCATGGCCGCTGTGGGCGTGCCCCAGCTTCTTCCCGCCTCTCGGTGCACCTTTCCGGTGCGCCCCCCGCGGGCGCGCCGCCCCACCCGGGCGACGCGCCCCACCTAACCCCTTGGGCGCTGCGTAATGGGGGGATCGTAAATGGGGGGGCGGCGAGTGTGGTCCGAAAAGGTACCCAAATGGTACCTAAACGAGCCCCCTGGGGCTCTGTTCCCACCTCTCGGTGCACCTTTCCGGTGCGCCCCCCGCGGGCGCGCCGCCCCACCCCGGCGGCGCGCCCCGCCGGGCCCCCGCGCGCCGCCTGCCCCAGTGGAGGCGCCACCGCCCGCCCCGCCGCCCGGTGACCACTGCCTGTCTTGGCATCGCTCGGACGTGTGCATTTTTCCTTCGGCGAGGACCAACGAGGAGCATCCTTGACCGTTTGGCGAAAAATCCACGCAAGAAACCGACAAAAAACACAGGGAATGGACGTTAGGCGATGCTTAAGAAAACTGAATGTTTCGGCCAGAGTCTCGATGATTCTTACTTAATGTTTCAAAGTAAATCCTAAGATTTGAATCGAATGTTTGGGTCTTTATTCGAGTTCTGAGACTACGAATTTCTTAACCCATGATTTCTTAAGCATTTCGCAGGGTGTATGCGCCCCGCAGACGCCTGGCTTGCGCGTCGTCCGGCCCAGATGGTGCGCTCCTCTTCCTTCAGGAGGGGAAAAAACACAGACACAATGAATCGTCGATTCCCAGGAGAATATGGGAAAATATGGGAAGTGGGGGGGGAAGACAAAAACCCAGAAAATATGGGAAAATCTAGGGAACATGTTTATTTGTGTGTATTTATTTGTGTGTCCTTGGGCCCCTTCATTCCTCGCGGGCGCAGCAGCCCAGGTGCCTCACAGATGGGCCGCCGCCCCTGCTGGCAGCTCGCGCTGCCCCGACTCCGGGGGGCACCGCCGTCGCGGCACCCCTCCTCCCTCTTTTCTCTTCCCTGCCTCACCGGGAGCCCGCGCCCAGTTCCCTATTCCACTGGGCGCCGCCCACTCTTTGGCTGCGATGCGTGCGCCGGCCCTGGACTCGGCGTTTCGCTTCTTCGCCCTTTGCCCACTGCGTGGTCTCCATGCGCCGCCTGGCTGCCGCTAGACGCTCGGCACTCTCCCGGCGCTCTGCTCCCCCTGGCGTCTTCTCACCACCCACCAAACCACCCCAACCCAACCCGAAGCCCTCAATTTGCCCTCCATTTCCAGTGGGGGGGGGGTCAGGGAACGTTGAAAAAACACGTGGAACCCGTACCCCCCCCAACCCGAAATTCGGGTCAAATTCGGGTCTTCGGGTTGGGTTGGGGTGGTCTGGTAGGTAGTCATCTTCGCCCTCCCCCTCGCCCTGCGGTCGCGCCGCGCCGCCGCCACCCCACGCCGCGCTGGCCCGCACGCCCAGCCTGCCGCAGCTGGCCTGCGCTGCTTCCTCCCGCCCCCCCCCCCCCCTTTCTGCGCCTCCAGCCAGGAGAGGAAAAAACACACAGACACAATTCATCCTCGAGTCCCCAGAAAATGTAGGAAAACATGGGAAGTGGGGGGAAGACAGAAACCCAGAAAACATGGGGGATCTTTTCATTTGTGTGCATTTATTTGTGTGTGTCCTGGGGCCTCTTCATCCAGCCCGCCCCTTTTGGCGGCCCGCCGCTCCCGCTGCCCTCCTTTGCTGGGCCCGCCCCACTCTGCGGCTGCCGGCTCCTCCCCGGAGTGCGCCCGCGACGCCGCCGTGCGCACGCTGTCAGGGCCTGCCCTGCAGCCTGGCCGCCCCGCGCGCCCGCCCGCGGCCCCGCCGCATGAGTGCGCCTGGTTTCCTCCCTCTCCTGTCTCTGCGGCCAGCTCTCTTCTGTCTGCCCCCCTGCGCGGGACAGTTCGCAATGCCGTAGCCCGGGCTGCTCAACGCGCGAGCGGATCGCCGATCTGCCGCGCCGCGACGACATAAACGTGCCCTCTCCAATCATCAAGCAGTGGCGAAGCGCCCAGGCTCGCCTATAGGCCCACCAAAGAATGTTATAATAACCTTTTGTGGTCTGCACAAAAATGTGTTGGAACATTTCTGGCTGAGACTGTCTTGTCTTAACACATCGGGCTGATGTTCTAAGAACATTGTTTGTGTGATGAGTGCGCTTTGGGGTTCCAAGAACACGTCGTGGTGGTAGGCCTATGAGGAATGCCGGGACGGCCGGTGCCTGCTCAAAACGCGAGGGAGGGAGGAGGGGAGGAGGAGGAGGAGGAGGAGGAGGAGGAGGAGGAGGAGGAGAGGAGGGGAGGAGGAGAAGGAGGGGATGGGGAGGAGGAGGAAGAGGAGGAGGAGGAGGAGGAGAGGAGGAGAGGAGGAGGAGAGGAGGAGGAGGAGGAGGATGAGAGGATGAGGCGGAGGAATGAGGAGGAGGAGGAGGAGGAGAGGCGGAGGAGGGGGAGGAGGAGGCCCCGCCAGGCGGCCAGCAGCTGGGCGCCCCCTGGGCGCCACTGCCAGGCCTCCGGCAGCTTCGCGGCCAGCTGCGCCTCGCCCGGCGCGGCCGGCGCGCAGGCCCGGGGCAGGGGGCGGGCGCCCTGCCAGGGCACGGGAGGAGGGAGGAGGAGGAGGAGGAGGAGGGGGAGGAGGGGGAGGAGGAGGAAGAGGAGGAGGAGGAGGAGGAGGAGGAAGAGGAGGAGGAGGAGGAGGAGGAGGACGAGAGGAGGAGGAGGAGGAGGCCCCAACGTGTACACCCCACCACCTCCTCCTTCTTCCCCGTCCCTCCCCCGGAACGGAAAGAAAGAGAGGTCGACAAGGGAGGATCGGGCCGGGCGAAAGGGGGGGATTGGGAAAGGGGGGGTACGAAATTTGCTGCATGCAGCTGGTTTCGGCCCCACCGAGGGGCCCATTCCTCGATACATGGGCGCTTCCGGCGCCGGGAGGCGCCGGGAAAATCAGCTACGTTAGCTGATTCTCAAACCCCCCTTTTGCTATCCCCCCCTTTCGCCCGACCCGAGAGGAGGAATCGACGTGGTGGTGGTGGTGTGTACTCTTGGGGCCCGCGCAGGGTGTCCTCGAGAGCTCCTGTCGTCTATCATCTGGCGCCAAAGCGGTCGTTATCTTCGGAGAACAAACAGTGCATGAGCAGCCTGCGCCGCCGCCCTTGCTTCGATCCGCGCGCCAGGAAGAGGGGGCAAGCGCAGGTCCGAAAAACCCGCGCGGAACTCCGAGCGTTCATGTACACGTCATGGTTACTTCCTCCAGAAACGGTCGTTACCCAGGCACATAGGCTACGCACCTTTCCCCCCCCCCCCGCGTAACCGCAACGACCCTGCGTGGGGGGGGGGGGGCTGGGCCCCCCCCCGCATGCCGGGGTTCGCGCGCATACTACGCATGACGATCGCAGCGCACCCCCACCCCGACGTGCCTCACCCCGCCCACACACTACCGGCACCCAGCTCTCAACCCCTCCCCCCCTGGGTAATGATCGCTACTGCCCGAAATATTAACAATAGGCTTACTAATAGAAACCATGGAATCTCCACGGGGTGGGGTGAGGAGGAGAAGGAGGAGGAGGAGGAGGAGGAGGTCAGGCGCAACGGGGGGGGGCTCAGGGGAACAAGGCATCGACTCCCAAGCACCCATTGATCGCCGATAGGGGCCCGAGAGCCCACCGCGCCCTGGAACGTGCGTCTTTGTTATCGGGGAACAAGTCGTCGATCTATCGGCGATGCATCGCCATTTCTGTCTCGACGGTTCCCCTCATGAGCCGGTCCCCTCAACGGTCCTTCTCGAAGGGGGCCCACGGAGAGGAGCCGAGGAGGAGGAGGAGGAGGAGGAGGAGGAGGAGGAGGAGGAGGATAAGAGTAGGAGGAGGGAGTAGGAGGAGGGAGTCGAGGAAGAGACCTCGGCGTGAACACAAAGGTTCGGAGGGCCGCGTGGAATTCTTGGATCTGCGCTGGACCCCCCCATGGCGGCCTCCCCGCCTGGCGCCATCCCTGAGAGGGGTTCAGCGCCGATCCAAGGGATTCTCTGAGAGGTTATGGTTATGCAGTGTGTTCCTCTTCTGTCACATACCAGAAACCCAACCCTGGGGGCCTTATGGCCGCAAAACACCTGGGGCAGTTTGTGTACACGAAGTCCCCCAATCCGACTCCCCCCCGGGGCCTCCCCGGGCTGCCCCCAGAGCCTCCATGGAGCTGCCCTGGGCCCCACCGGGGCCTCCAGAAAGTTTCAACGGGTTCCAAGACCGGCGAAGAAGCCAAATTGATTCCAGACAGCTCCCAGCAGCCCAAGGTAGCCCTGCAGATGCCCCCAAGTGGGCCCAAGACGGCTTCGAGAGTCCCCCCCAAGTGGGCCCAAGGTAGCCCTGCAGTCCCCCAAGGTCCAGGAGGCAAAAATAGTGTTCCACCAGGACCGTGGATTTCTGGTATATTCGCTTTCCCGGTTTGAACAGCGTCCAAGATTGTCGAAGACGGCCCCCAAGGCCGCCCTTGCGCGCCCAAAGGGGGCCCCAAGAGTGGCCCAAAACGCTCCCAGGAGAGAGGTCCAGAGAGGCCCCCAAGAGCTCGATACCGCCAGCTGACCTCCAAGCGTCTTGTCTCCGAGGGGTGTGGGATTCAACATTCGTGCTACTCCAGTGTGTCGAACGCCGCAGTCTTGTCGACAGCGCGGGCAGATCGTCTGAGTGAGATGTTGCGCAGGCGGCACGTGCAGGCGTATACAAAAGTGGCTCTCTGCCAGACAGTATCGGCGGCGGGCGCGGGGGGGAAATGAGAAGGGGCGGGACTTCCGAGGCTTCTGAGAAGTTTCCGGACTTCTGAGAGGGCTTCTGAGAAGTTCAGTCTGTATTCGAAATAGGCTAAGGAGACCTCTCAGAAGTCCACCGGACTTCTAAGAAGTCCCGCGGCCTTCTGAGAAGGCCTGCTCCTTCTCATTTCCCCCCTGGGCCCGCCGCCGACAGTAGCAATCTCAGACCCTTCGGATGTGCACCCGGGGCAAGTGCGCCAGAGCAGTGGCATGTAGTCCCCGGAGGCGCGGCCGCCCCGAAGTTGCAATGGGCTCGGTGTGCTTATGAGTCATTTCCCGAAGTGTCTGTGGCAGCAGACCGCTTCGATTCTCCCCCCGTTCGGGGGAGAAAAAGATACGGATACGTGTTGTCCCCCTTCGTTTTCGGCCTGTCCTGGTCCTCCTGGGGAATCCTCGTTGTCACCGCTGGATTCGCCTCGAAATTCTGGTCAGAACGCACCCCAGGAGAGGTCCGGGGACAACACGTATCCGTATCTTTCCGCCCCCCAACCCGTCGTCCTTGTCCCCCGCTCCCTCTTCCTTGTTCGCGGGGGATCGGCTTCTGTTTCACAGTCGGGATGCGCCCTGCTTTTCTGCTTCACGGTCGGGCGCTCTGTCGTCATGTGTCCGTTTCGCAATCGAATTGCCGCGCACGTCCTGCCAGAAACCCAGCTCAGCGGTGGCAGTTGTGACCAAGCGCCGTGCTTAGGGTTGGCGCATGGATTTTGTATTGGAGGTTGATAGGCCTCCCACCCTGACACGTCGATTAGTGAATTGGCCGTTCTCGGTTCGCGAGAGGGCGTCGCGGCCGTCATTTTTGCGGGTCCAGGTCCGTCGGTTTCGGTCCTAGGCCGCTTTCACTAAAGGGAGGCTCACTAAAGGGAGGTTTGTCCACCGCCGATTGTATTACTGTGCTAGTGGCCTCCAAGAAGAAGCCCCCAAGAGGCCGCCTGAGGCGCCCACGAGGCCTCCAAGAGGCTTTCCAAGAGGCCTCCGGAGATTCCCAACACGTTTCGTACAGGCTCACAAGAGGCTTTCCAAGAGATTCCAAAAATTATCTCAGAGACCCCCGTGTCTCGGAGAGCAGACTGCCGCATGAGGGGCCCCTTCCTCCTCCTCCGCCGTCGTTTTTCCCAACTCCTTCACGGCCAGCAGCTGTCTTCGTGCCCTCCTCCTGTTTGCCCCATCCCTCTCAGGCCTCCTGCTCCCTGCTTGCGGTCTGGCCTTCTCCACCCAGCCTCCGCGCCCCCGTCCCCCTTCACTGATGCCCGAACTGCCATTCTCGACCTCCTCCCTCCGCAGATCGGGGAGAGGTGTGGAGGCGGGAGCTGCCTGGGGTCGGCCACGCGAAGAGGGGGGTAGGGGAGGGGGGAAGGCTCCTTAGAAGCACCCTTGCTTCTTAGAAGGCGCGGGCCTTCTCTATAGATGTACGGCCGGCGGCTTCTGAGAAGCAGCTTGCTCCTAAGAAGTCTTTCCCCCCTCCCCCTACCCTCCTTCTGCGCGCCACCAACTGGGGTCGCCGCCGCCCGCAGGGGCATTGTTCGAGACCCACGGTGCTCTTCTATTCGGGCACGGTCCCTCTTCCAGGCTGTGCTCCAAGACAGGTAAAAGCGGAGTGCGCGCGAAGCGCGCGATGGTTCGAGTCTAGGAAGGTGGGGGACGAGGAGGAGGAGGAGGAGGAGGAGGAGGAGGAGGAGGAAGGGGAAGATGGGGTCGGAGGATCGCGCCGCATCCCCGTTCCACCAGCCATGCGGCTCGATGTGGAGTCCGACTTTCTCACCGACGTCGCCGATGCGTCGGTGATGCATCGACGATGCGGCGCGATCCTTTCATCGGTGGAGGGGCGGGATACTTGCTCAACGTGTGTGTTGATTGCTTTGGCCGTTGTTGCCCGATCCCGTCTTCACAACTCTCGTTCCCGCCCCTCCCCCCCTCCTCCCGGTCCCCCCCTCGTCCCCTTCTTCCCTTCCTTGCGTCCCTCGTTCCGTTCCCACCTCATTTCCTCTCAGGGGGAAAAGAAACACACAGACACAATTAATCCTCGATTCCCCCGAAAAGATGGGAAATCAAGGAAGTGGGGGGGAAGACAGAAACCCAGAAAATATTGGAAAATATGGAGAATATGTTTATTTGTGTGTGTATTTATTTAATCGCTTCGCTCATTCCGCCGGCCCTGGAGCCCTCTTTAGGGCCTCTTGGGGACCTCTTGGGAGTCTCTTGGGGCTCCTTGGCGGCGTCTTGGGGGACCCCCCCCCTCGGAGGCCACGATCCTCGTGAGCGGTGTCGAAAAATTGCCCGGTCCGGCCTCTCTGACCCGAGTCTGCCGGGACCCTGCCGGGGTACTTCTCGCCCGGAGACCCCCAGGGGCGGCCCCGCGCGCGCGAACTAGACTATTGTGAACAAGTTACCCGAGATTTTGGCACGCCTCTGGCCCGTTGGGCCGGCGAATTTGTGTGTCCCAGGGCCCCTTCATCCTCGTGCTTCCCTCTCGATTCCCCAGAAAATATGGGAAATAAAGGAAGTGGGGGGGAAGACAGAAACCCCGAAAATATTGGAAAATATGGAGAATAGGTGTATTTGTGTGTATTTATTTGTGTGTCCCGGGGCCCCTTCATCCTCGTGCTTCCCTCTCGATTCCCCAGAAAATATGGGAAATAAAGGAAGTGGGGGGGAAGACAGAAACCCCGAAAATATGGGAAAATATGGAGAATAGGTGTATTTGTGTGTATTTATTTGTGTGTCCCGGGGCCCCTTCATCCTCGTGCTTCCCTCTCGATTCCCCAGAA